CACTGGGATACCTGTACAAATAAAGGAGAATCACTAGGGCTACCAGAGCTCAAGGCAAGATGGGTACTGTGGGAGATGGAAGGAACTCAATGGGGTGTCAGGAAGAAAAGATGGACACTGGGGAGCTACTATCTCCTGGGAGCACTGCTAGTTTTGCCTGAGGTATACTGATTTGGGGAATAGTTTGAAAAGGGGGTCTAAAAAAACAGAATGTTGTTCTAGGGTGCCCAGATGGGGTTATGACAAGCAGAGGAGAGCAGACATTAGCAGAATCAAGAGGCGATGCTGAGATAAGTTTAATTGAAAAGACCCTTTCTAACTGAACTCGAACTCTGACTGGCCAGTGAAAACCACACAGGAAATTCTTGGGAGCTCTCCACCCCCTCAGTCACACTTGCTCAGTCCCCAATTGTGCCCAGAGTCTCCTGCTGTCACTCCAAGAAGTCACCTTCTCTGCAAGGCAGATCCACTCCTTTCAAGGAAGGGATCAAAGGAAGGTAAGACTTTATTTCCTCAGAGGCAATGTAACATTGTGGCTGCATTGATGGGCTTGGAATCAAGAAGACCTGGTTTCACCTTCTTCCTCAGCCACCAAATATCTATGTATTATTACGTAAGTCACATCACCCCTCTAATCTTCAATTTTTTCATCTGTAAAATGGGAGTAATAAAAGTAACAACTTCTCAGAGTTGTATGGGTCAAATGAGATGACGTCTGCAAGGTGCTCAGGACAGGCAGAGGCACCAGACAAAGGTTTGCCTATTTCTCCTTCCACTCTTTCAGAACCTTTGAGTCTTTAGCTTAAAAACTGAGTCACACTCAAGATGGTTGCCTAGGGAGCTCAGATAATCCTCTGATAATCACGTCAAGCTATTCTCCCTCAGCTCCCCACTCTCCACACAAGCCAGCAAATTTTGTTCTCAGCCCTGAAGAGGACAAGTGTGGCATTTGGTACAGGAGCATGGTAGGTAGAGAGGTAACAAAGTTTGAGAACCCTATGGGCTGCTGTCCTGATTCCTCAGCATGTTTCATTTGCTAATTTTTCCATTCTCTTATCTCAGCCACAACTCCTTGATCAAAACCTAAGATCACATGGTTCCCATCCTGGTGTCCCAGGAAGAAGGTAGGAACTGGATCCCAGGTTCCTGAACAAGGACAACATTACTGGATTTCAGGAGGTCCTGAAGCAACTGTCAGTGCCTCCAATGAGTCTGTGAAACCAAGGACTCAGAAAAGCCAAGCGCTCCAAAGATCCAGTGAAGCCAGACCGCAAAGTTACAGGGGATCCAGATAGACGTGAGGAGCCCTAGTCCTTCCGGGCAGTCTTTGGAGCCTCAGAGAGGTGAGGAATGGCACTCAACCCCCTGGTGACCCTCTGAAAGAGCAGGAGGACCCCAGAGGAAGAGCTGCCAAGGTACCAATCGGGGCAAATTTGGGGATTTTTCTATAATCTTGGGCTCATGCTGCTATCTTTCCAAATGCAACTTGGAGGTTATTTTGAGAGGCAGAGATAACATACTTGGGAACAGCAAAATCAAGTTGGGAACTTGATCCTGAGTCAAAAGTCTGAATGAAGAGCCATTTGGGGAGCTGCTCAAAGACAGGATGGGAGCATAAAGAGATCTCGGCCCTCCTTCTCTCAGTTAGCTGCCTAACTCCCTTTGCAAACTGCCAGGCTATCAGTCCCAAGACCCTGCGTGGTACAAGGCTTGTATAGGGTTTGTTGGTATTCCTGGTTAGAGTACAAGGTATGGTGCAGTATGATGCAGTAGAACTGGTGACAGGAGAGGCAGACCAGGAATGGCCACAATCAGGTGTCCAGGCTCACAGAGGGTCAAGGCCCAAGCTTCCAGCCTATCTGTATTATCTTGGGCAGGTCACTGCCTGTCCTAGGGGTAACTCAACTCTCATTTGGCATTTGAGGAAACTGACCTCAGCTTCTTCAAAGGCAAAATGGGAGTTGAGTCATAAGTGACCTCCAAGCTACCTAGAGGCATAATGGTTAATGAGCAGAGTCTAGGATTAATGTCAGAGGGTCTGGGTTCCAATCTTGACTCTGCTACTTCCGTCTATTGGAGCACAGGTGAATGATTTAACTTGTATGGAGTTTAATTTCCTTTTCTATAAAAATGAGAGGACCAGACTCAAAGACTGAAGTTCTCTTTCATCTTTCATTTCATGCTCCTCAGATTCTCCGAGCTCTAAATCAGATGATTCTGTGGCCCAATGTAGAGGTGAAAGTCAGGGAACACCACTCTAAGGACAAGCATCGCATGACACATGTCTCCATGTTGCCTCAGAAAGGGTAGATCAGTCTGGAGGATGGGAGTCAAAAGCCACGCATAGCCCAAGCTGATTTGAAACAGAACCAATGATCAGTGAACATGGGGCTGCCTCAGGTTCCAGGGCCCATAGAGGGGAGAGCTAAAACAGCAGCCTAGGGTTAGAGGGGAAGGAATTCTGCAGAGAACCACACAGGGCCTGAGGAGCCCACTAACCACCTGCAGTTTTAGAAAGCCTGCCAGGGAAGATGGAAACAAAGATAGGTAAGAACTGGTGAGCACAAAAGTTCAGCAGCAGTCCCAGAGCTCAGAACCAGCACTGGTTGGCAGAGAAGCCAAGAACTTTGGCTGTATTCTCAACTAAAAGAAGGGTTGAGAATACTGCTTGAGGAGAAAGAGCTGAAGGTAAGAAAGGATGGGGAGAAGCCAGAGCTGCTTCTTTTTCTTGGCTTGGAAACCAAGGAGAAGGGCAAGGGGGGAATAACAGTGTGGATCAGGATTCTACCTTTACAGCTGGAAAGAACCTTAGAGGTTGGTGAGTCCAACCCCCTAATTTGATAGACGAAGAAACTGAGGCCAGAGCTTTGGTGATTTAACCTGAGTCACACAGCAAGCCAGTATCTTGAGGCAGAATTTGAACTTAGATCTTCCTTGCTCTAAGTTCCACTTACTGGGCTTGATGCTGTGGTGACAAAGACAAAAGCAAACCAGTCCTTGCCATCCAAGGGGCTCACGCAGTGCTAGAAGGAAGAAAATACAGACACAGAGAAGGATGCACAAGAGGGCAGAGAGACAGAGACAGAGAGGAAAAATTAACAATAACAACTAGTATTTTTATAGCACTATAAATCGGACACCTCACAACAACCCTCTGAGCAAGGTGCTATTATTATCCCCATTTTATAAATGAAGAAACTGAGGCTGCAGATGTTGAAGGCCTTGTTCAGGGCCATGGAGCTAGTCAGTGCCCAAGGTACAGTTTGAACTCATCTTCCTGACTTTGAGCCTGTTGCTCTATCCAAAAGCTGAGCCAATGGGAATGAGACCAGGCTCCAACCATCATATCTGGCTCGTGTCAAAGTCACAGTTCCACTGGGGTCTCACCTTCCTCTAAGAACAGAACTATTTGCTCTCCATTGGTGCCTTGCCAGTCCCCTCGGCCCCAGCTCTAGTGCTTGCAGAATGGACCTGCTCCCTCCCCAGGAGCCCTCACTTCCCTCCACGCAGTCCCCTCTGAGAGCTCCAGCTCTCTCTGATATTGCTCCAAGCCTGGATCACTCCTGGAGGGAGGAAGAGCCCTTTTCCTTAGTTTCTCAGGCAGATACCAAACAACCTCCTTTCCAGGACCAATTTGGGTCTTCTTCCAGCCTCCTTTTGCTTTCAAATTTAGATACTGGGCCTCAGAAGAAAAGAGTTTATGATATTGCTATGTATTCTACTTGTAGCAGGGCAGAGGGGAGCCCAGACACCACGACCTTGGACAGTTGGTCCCAGAACAGAGAGGCAATGTCAAGGAGAGCTTGTGTCCCCGACGCCATCTCCCACACCAATCCTTACAGAAACCACATCAGCTCAGGCTCCAGGCCCAGTGCAGGGAAGCAGTCTTATCTACCTTCTGCCCTGCTTTTAGAGCAACTGTCCATTCTAAGTCCCATGGGAATCTCCCTGACTAGGAGAGCCCTCGGGCAAGGGGAGGAGATTCCCAGAATTCCCTAGGTTTCACCTCAAACTGTAGCGTCTCCACATGTGTCTTGGAAAAAAGGCACTTTTAAAGGAACTTTTCTGTGTTCTCCTAAGTATGGGCTGAGCTGAAGGAGCTTGAGAAAATAATAGTTGCATAGAGTCCAAATTCTGAGCTCATCGCTTAAGAGCTGGAGGAGTGAATTAGTCTAATGGTCTCATTGAGTTGTTTCAGTCACATCTGATTTTTCCGTGACCCCATTTGGGGTTTTCTGGGCACAGATACAGAAGTGGTTTGCCATTTCCTGCTCCACCTCATTTTACAGGTTTGGAAACTGAGGCAAACAGTGTGAAGTGACTTGTCCAGGGTCACAGAGCTAGGAAGTGTCTGAGGCCAGATTTGAACTCACAAAGATGAGTTTTGCTGACTCCAGGCTGGGCACTCTGTCCACTGTACCACTTAATTGTCTCAATAGAAATCCTTTATTCACTCTCATTTTACCAATAAAGAAATTAACCCCATAGACCTTAAGGATCTTATCACACATATAGTTAAGTGTCACAATGAGAATATGAACTCAATTCCTCTGACTCCAAATGGAGTTCCCAATTTTCTGGTCTGTCCCTCATGGTCTGGACTGGGAAGAGACAAATCTAGGGAAAATGAAAAGCCTGAAGTCCCATAAATTACCTTGTCCACATGGAACCTTCCTTACTGAGCCCTGGAAATGGGAGGAAGCCTTGGTTCTTCATACCACCCTAAAGTGGGAAGTCTTGTCAGATCTAAATCTTGATCCCAAGTAGAAGCAGAAAGCTGATGAAGCTTCCTCCAGAACAGGTCATTGTCCTAACCCAAAGATCTGTCAGTCAGTCAACAATCATTTGTTAACAAAAAAACCTTACTATATACCAGGTACTGTGCTAAGCACGAGGCACACAGAAAAAGCACAAAAACTGTCCTCTACTTTGCCTATCGTATCTGGGGTCTGAAGCTATAAGGGACCTCCCAAAATTTCCACGTTGTTGTGTTCACAGGAATGTCCAAGGAAGAGCTAAGCAGAGATTTCCAGATGATGGACCTAATCACCTGGGATCTGTCTTCCCCACAATTGCCTTGGGAACTAGATTATAACAAGAGGGCAGTGCCCATATCGTGGGCAGAGAAAACATCTGCTCAGAAAGCCATTCTCCCTATCCCCTGCCTCACTGTGCTCATCGCCTCATGGGGGTTAATAGGGAATAGTATTATCCTCTGGCTCCTAGGGTTCCAAATTAAGAGGGGTCCCTTCACTGTCTACATCCTCAATATGACCACTGCTGACTTCTTCTTCCTTTTCTGCCATATTGTGAATATTATGGGGAAATTGCTTTTTTCTCTTGATTCAAACCCAGCATTTTTGATACTCACAGAATTTTGTGCCTCTTTGAGTGAGAACTTCCTGGTGGCCATGAGCATGGAGCTCTGTCTCTCAGTCCTCTGCCCTGTTTGGTACCGATGGAACCGTCCTAAGCTTGCCACTGCCATCGTGTGCTCTCTCATATGGGTCCTGACTGCCCTGTTGTCTGGAACTGAATACTTCCTTTGCAAACATTCCTCCTCTTCCAACGGCTGTAAAGTGTTTATCAGAAGTAATCACATGTGGCTGCTCCTGCTCTTCCTGCTGTATGTGGTCAGCCTGACCCTGCTGTTCTGCATCCAGTGCAGCAGATGCCGCTGCCCCAAATCCTCCAGCCTCTGGGTCCTGGCAGTCCTCATCATCCTTCAGCTCTTGCTGAGCAGTTTGCCTTTTGTAACAGGCCAATTCAATAGTGAATTCAAAGTCATGATTCTTCAAAGTGAAAGTGACTTTAACTTAATCCATAGTGAGTCTGACAGTGTGATTTTTGAAACTGAAGATGATGTTGACATTCTCCTGTCTTGCCTGGAAAACAGCACTGAGCCTTTCACGTACTTCTTCATGAGCTGCTGTAAAAAAAGGAGAGCGAGGGAGTCCTTTAGGATGCTTCTCCAGAGGACCTTGATGGATGAGGAAGAACTGGAATGGGGCACAGAAATATTCTGTGAGTCTCCTGGGCTTGTCACCCTGACTCTGAGGACACTGGACAGGTCTTCGGAGGAACCCATGACAGGTGACACTACTCCATGAATCATCCAAGGCATCCTTCCTTGTATTCCCACCCAGGACTGTGCACAGGCCTAGCCTGCCCAGAGAATACAGGATTTCCCTCTTACAAGCTCCCCACATCTCTGGAGGGGAGAATGTCCTGGTCCTGGAGCCTCCAGGGATTCCTTGGGAAGCAAGGTTAAGAACTCATGCATGATGAGCTCAGAGGCCACAACCTAATAACAAAGCAACCCTAAACTGGCTCCCCAGTCTGAGAGAGAAGAAGGATGGACATGAGCCCTCTCAAGGCTTCCTGCACTCTACCATCAGCCTCTCTTCTCTGACTGAGCCCCATCTAGATTATGTTGTCTGGGACCTAATCCCCAAACCTCCTGAAGGCTCCAGTCTCAGACCCCTTCTTGTGCCCTGCTTTCCTCCTCCCACTAGACAAAAGATTCTGCTCTTTTTTGCCCCCCTTCCTTCCCAGCTCTGCTCTTTTGCTTTCTGTCTCCCTCCCCCATCGTCTCCCTGCCCCCAACATGAACTTAACCTTTGTTCACAGGCCCACAACATGCACCAGCTCCTCCCTCAGGCCCCAGAGACATGTCAGGGCAGGCCCTCATCATCATGGGCTTCATGCTCCATCACTGCTCTAGGAAGTAGGACTAGGATATCCTTGGTCAAGCCAGGCTAGCTCCCTGGGACTGCTGTGTCAAGGAGCAGGGGAAGTGTTTGGGGTTGCTGGTTTTCTCCTCACTCACACACACTGCAAATATTGTTTTTCTGAGGTTAACAGGGAATATGGAGACCTCTGCTTTTGTCTCCTAATTTACCTCTGAAGTTGTCTTGTTTGTCATGGTGGAAGGAGCTCTGTCTATGGAGTCAGAGGAGATAGGTTAAAATCCCACCTCTGACATTTAGTATCTGTGTGACTCAGGAAGTCAATAAATCAAATGACAGTTATCCCTTCCACATCGTGGGAGTTGGGGGTACAGCACCCCCATCATCTGGAAAATCCAAATAACATTTTTTGGCCTCCTTCACACCAGAGAAGTCTGAATTATTTTGGCATTAAAATATAAAATATGTTGATATTATACAAATATACACACATACACACATTGCATTTCTGAGTTTCTAAATTTTTTTTCTGTGCCATCTACTGTCCTTCACATGCCAGCTGTGGCTTCCACAGAACTCCCCCAAAATTCCCATTTGATTTCTTATGCCAGTCCATGATATATCAAAACCATGGTGGGGAAAGTCGTTGTGTGAAAGGAATAACCGTATATCCCATAAAATGAAGGGGTCAGGCTGGTGGCATCAAAAGCACTCGTCAGCTCTAGATCTAGGACCACCTGTTCTTACTCCCTTTCCTGTACTTGGGCTCCAAACAGGACACTCCATTTCCCACTTCGCTTCACTGGCTGGC